GACTTGCGAGTCATTTCGCCAAATAGCATTCGAATCCATTTGATCGAATTTGAATTTGAGCTTCTACAAACTAGACGATACAATGGTTAGTATATATATATATAGATAAAATCTTGCCGAATGCCGATGGACTGGGCCGAATCAAACGTTTGGATTGGCAGAAATTCGACAGGACATGATTTGATTGGCTTAGTTTTGCGGTACTTGAATCCATTCTCTCAAGACATGGTCTCCAATCATTTCGAATCGATTTGACAATATATATATATATATATATATATATCGACGTATCTGACAAGAGAGTGTAGGGAACGCATGTACGACAAGTTGCAGCCGGGGGTCGTGATGGGGCTGGCGTGGACGGCCATGGGCGGGTCGTCGCTGTATATTGAAACCACGACCGTGCAAACCAAAGGTACTGTCACTAGCTAAGAAACGTCGCCGTACTTGATGGAAATCATATGATTTATGGAAATATGTTCATGTTTATATATGGTACGTAGGAGGCAAGGGCAGTTTGGTCACCACGGGTCAGATGGGCAGTGTCATGGAGGAAAGCACTAAGATTGCGCACACATTTGCTCGACACAAGCTGGAACAGGTAGTCTTGTATTCTCAAGCCAAACGCTGACTTTTGTGCTCATGTTCAATCGATCGAGTTTTCGATGCCATTTGATTGTCCTGTTTCACTGTTGAGTGGTGGTATTTCGTGCAATATCTATGATTGGCTAATAGTAAATTGGTGTTTTTTGTCCATGTTGGACATGTGTGTCGAGGTAATTAATACATATGATTCACAGCATTTTGGAATCAGCAATCAGTCCCAAACCATATATATATATGCACATGCGGACGAGAAGAGATATGGTTGTTTTTGCTGGCTTTGTCACACGATTGTGTGGGTTAGCTCGAGCCCGACAATGCCTTCTTTGAAGCCGACTTGCACTTGCATGTGCCCGAAGGTGCCACTCCCAAGGACGGTCCATCAGCTGGCTGCACGATGGTCACTGCGCTGCTGTCGTTGGCATTGGACAAGTAAGAAGTCTCTTGTTACATGGTCTAGCGAGTGACTCATGGGGTTGAGTAGACCTGTGAAATCCGATCTGGCCATGACGGGCGAGCTGTCGCTGACGGGCAAGGTACTTCCCGTGGGCGGGATCAAAGAGAAGACAATCGCCGCGCGTCGGTCTGGCGTCACGACCCTCGTGCTGCCCTTTGGCAACCAAAAGGACTTTGAAGAGTTGCCAGACTACTTGAAGCAAGGACTGGACGTCCACTTTGCCACTGTCTATGACGACGTGTACAAAGTGGCGTTGGATTACTAGATGTGTACAGTAGTCCCCCGCAATAGGGAACCCACAGTAAATCAATATCCTCGCAAAATATATTCTTTCACAAGATGGTGCAAAATAAATTTAAAGAGGCTGATTGAAATTTCAAACGACACATGTTGCGAAAATGCACTTGGTTGTCAAAATGCCGTCACCCTCAACACGCATGAGACTCACTGTCGAGCAAAAGTGCTCACTATTGACGCACCACAAGTACATCCTGGCATGAGAGGACTTGAATTGCGAGTTTGGGCTCAGCATGCGTTTGGGCTGTCACGTGTGCCCCAAAAGTCGACTATGCCACTATGTCTCATTGGCTCAACACCAGAGCGACCACATGGACGTGCATCCGTCACATAAATCAGCCAACAAACCTCGCCTACTGGACCTCTACTAAACTTAACTCTAACTGCTGGCGCCATACGGGATACTGGACGAAGAGATGTATGAGTTGATCGAGAGTATGAACAACCTTTGAGGAATGTAATTTGCGCATTGTTGTTGGTTTGCGTTTTGTCTTCTGGAGGTTGCCAGGTATCAACCCCCTCCGGATATTATGTCCATTTTTGAATCCGAGCACTTTCCAATACCATATGTTAAATCTTGTCCAATCAGAATCGAGCTACCCATGAATCATGCCTTTTTAACTTTATACTTGTGTAAATTGAAAACCTCTAAAACCATATCGACAACAAAGGTTCCCTATTGCGTGGGACTACTGTATTCGACTAGTAGTACTAACAGTTGGTATAGAACTCGTAGAGATCTTTGTACATACTAGTACAGTACTATTAGTAGTATCTACAGTACTGTGTAGTAGTATATACTACGTGGTACTAGTAGTAGATAGTATGATGATCACAGTATGTACGTTGGTTCATACCGTACTTCGTATGTTAAGAGAAGCCCCCACGTGTATAAATATATACAAATTTAAAGAGGTTATTCACTGTATGCTGAAGTTCAAGTTGTGGATGGATGTTAAGAGCGTCATACAAATTTCTAGATATCGATAATTTAGGCATTTCGTGACATAATTATCTGATATTAGAGGTAGTGTTATGTATAGAGGTGAGTCTTTATAGAATTTAGGAGACCTTGTTGGCTATTTCATTGGTGCCACCAGCGACTTGAAGTGGCGAGGTGCAAGTGGCGAGGGCCATGGCCGCTCTGCAACGCGACCAGTCAACAGCGGTATAGTACAAGCAACTTCATCATTGATTCATTCCTATAGTAGGCTCTGATGCCTCCTGGACTGTGATCCCTGGTCTTCTGTCCTCAGTGGTTGTGTTGAGCCGTCACCGTGTTCTCGAGAACAACATGACATCTTACTTTGGTGACCGCGGTG